ACTTGTTTAAATTTTAAAGCAGTAAGGGATTAAGAACAAATGCATGCGTTTCTCTTCTTGTTTCACTTGTGTGTAAGTAATTTTAAAGGTCAAGCACAGCTTTTTTTGGTCCCTGAAAAAGCTCTCTGCATTTTCGAAGTTAAAAAACATAGGCCAGATCATCAGCAAATGTAATCTAGTAAAGTTTATCATAGTCAGCACAGCAGGCCAATTTACACTGGTTGAGATTCTGGCTGCTGTTTTGTAACATTCCAGGAGGAAAACATTACAGTGTTTTTAAAGAAATATAACCTGAAAGAGAAAAGACAGATTTCCCTGTTTGAGACTGTGCCAGAGGGAATGAACTCGTAAGGAACATAAATCAAAGCAATGAAAACAGGGAGTTGAAGCCCAGTTCTGGTGATGACAGGTATATTGTTTAGGTTTTCAGCAGAAAGCCAGGATGTGCATATAGGAGCTCTCTACCAAGACAAAGAACATCATAGCTTGTGGATTCCATTAATTCCAGTAAGAATATTGACTTAGTCATTAGAAAAGAATCACACATGCCTCTGACACAGTAGTTTTACAAGCCCTGTTGTGTCCCCTGGACAGAAGAAACAAGCCAGCAGCCTGGAGTTCCCAAGAACTAAACCAGGAGCATCCCAAAGATGACTTTAGAATATGGCACTAATTATACTGTTTTCATCGTAATGTTTGCCATGTGTTTCTTTTGGTATATTAGAGAGGAGCTTAGTTATTAAAAAAAAAAAAAAAAAAAAAAAAAAAAAGTTATAATTCACTTCTTAGGTGTCTTTTTGTTGATTCTTACATGATGATGAAAAAAAAGCAGAGTGATATCCCAGAGATCTCCTTCTGAATATGGCACTAGTGCAGATATGAAAGATGCTTAGGACCTGATGCAAAAGCCAATCAAATTAATGATAGACCTAACCAACAGAACAAACAAGATCAATATTATTGGCCTCATTCTGCTTCTGTGGAAGTCAAGGAAGCAAATTTTCAATGGCAACAACACCAAACAGTACTACCTAGTTTAAAATTCCTCATTATAGAAGCAGAGAATCTCAGAATAGCAGAATTATAGAACCTTGGAATGGTTTGGATTGGAAGGGACATTCAAGATCATCAGGTTCCAACCCCATTCTGTGTGCAGGGACACCTTCCACTAGACTAGGTTTCTCAAAGCTCTATCTGATCTAGCATTATGAAAGACTGTATGAACAAAATGAGTAACTCACTGTTAAAAATTTTTGCTATTAAAATCAGGTTTTAATTCACTTTCCCAGTGCTTCACAAGGAGACATTGGAAGCTCTAGGTGAAGGATTTTTGAATCTGCCTTTTCTTCTCAGCTCCCATGCTGCAATCACTGCCGAATTTTAAGGGCATATTCATGTGAGAACACTTTATTACCTAATTAGGGAAAATTGGCATGTTCAGATGATTATTCTTCTGAGTGACTTTCTGAAAAAATATGATCCTTCTCAGATGGTCTGGTATCATGGGCTTAGGTCAAAACAAATGTTTTCTGTCACCGCTTCCCTCCCATTTCAATGCATGTAAATAGTTAGGTTGCAGTAAGTTTTTAATTTATTTTTGTAACAGAAATGGGCTGTAATCACATTTCAAGGATCTAATACAATAAACACTGATGTGATTACTGTTAACAGAAGGTGAATAGCAACAGAGTAGCAATATAAGGATTACTCCAGATGAAGAAGTGTTGAAAAGTATGGGGACAGACACCCATACTTCATTCCTGGCTGTTTAGGAGATTTCTAATCCCAAATATAACAGCAAGCAAGGACAAACATTAAGCTGGTGTATACTCCACATATAGCAACTCTTTCCTTTGACAAGTATGACCTGGGTACTGGGATTTAGGCCATATGAATATAAGCCCTCAGTAGAATTCTATAAAATGTCAGGTTTTAGTATTTTGCATTTTGAAAGTTCAAAGAATTTCTACACTAGGATAAAAGCAGAGGATGGAACACCACATATATGAATAGCAACAAACAAGCAAGGTTTGGAATGCATCAATTGAATGACATTTTGCAAAAAAAGTACTCTTTCTGCGCTCAGGAGGCATTCCAAATTTCATTTGACATACAAGGCAATTAATTTCTTTTGGTGCATTTATGTTATCATATTCTGCTCTTTGATATCCAGCATGGGAAAAATTCTTTCTGTGTGAAAATTCCTAAAATGAGGGGGTTTAGCTTTGATTCCTGGGGATACTTGTTCTAAGGTGACAATTTTCCTATTCTTCATTGTTTTAACTGTTCAAAATCAAAAATATATCAATGTGACGATTTATATGCTTTTAGTTTTTTGTTTGTAGTGAGTGATACATACTTAGAAACTGTATTTAAAATGTTATATAAATATTTGTATATTGGGGGGAAAACTATGTTCTGACTGAAGTATCTTTTTTATCTCTGTTCCCTTAAAAAACGCTAATACAAAGTGTCAATATGTAAGGAACCTCCAGAAACACAAAGCTTGAGCTATCATTTTAAACCGTATGCAGAGATTACAGCTGTTCTTGCATGCATTTTCTAGCCTATGAAATACTAAATCCAAAGCTATCCTGCCTTTATTAAAATATTTTTAGCATGAAAAAGGAGTCTCAGGAAATGTCAAATCAACATTTAGTTTTGCATTCGTTAGTCAGGACATTTTATCTCTTTATGCATCTGTCCCACATGATAAATGAAAAGGAGAAGGAGTAAATGGACATATAATTAGACATTCAGTACAATTAATTTGTCAAATACATGGAAGTGTGGTTTCAACAGACACATTATATATGCCATTTATTAAATTAAATTCCGGATCATTGATACAATAGTCTAATGGTCACACTTTCTGTAGGAATTTTCCTGGGTTTTTTTTTTATTTAAAAGGAGGAGAGGGTAAAGAATTTTCTGATTTGCAAATTAAGTGGCATGATCAGGGAAAACCCCTAAAATCCATTCTTCAGCATACAAGCAGACCTGAACTTGAACTGCCAGTCTAATTTGAATAGCTAGCAGCCAAGGCTGGCTTCTACTCCACATCAGAAAATGAGGCACCACTACCACCACCATTCCAGAAAGCCAAGTCCATCCTGTTTCYTTTTCTTTCCCATCATTAGAATCTTGCACTTTATTGAGTCTGGAAAGCAGAGACAATATACCCATCCTTCTTCACCTTCAACTTCCACCATCAAGGGTCCAAAAGCTTTAGAGCAATTGCAGCTCTGCATGCACCTCCACAGAGCAGAGCAGGTTTGTTCCCAGCTCATGTTCAGCTAGCATTTCAGCACATTGCTAAGGTTTTCCTGGGTAATACTCATCCCAGAAAAGAAAACTTATTTTTTCCACTTCTAATTTAGACAAACTCAAAGAGAGTTTCATGAGACAAAGGAAAACACTTTTTTTCTAGGCTTAATTGTTCATTTGCAGGATCCTTAGAGGAGATAATAGAATGTTTAACACAGATAAAATAAAAATGTAAAATGAAAGTGGAACATATCAGGCAAGCAGGCTGCTTTCAGCTCCCTGTGTAATCATTATAAACTTGTTTCCACACATCCTGTAGTTGTTCTGTTTGTCTGGAGACAGAGTGGAGCCTCCTTCCAGTATTCTAGCTCCCTGTGTATATAATTCCTTTTCTGTCAAGTAAGAAACCTAAAGACCTAAAGAGGTTACTGCATGCTCATGTGGGCCCAGAATTCTAGAACTGAATGCGGCCATTTGTCTCTTCCTAATTACCGTAAATTCTTCCTTTATGCATTCAATAGAGATTGGATTAACGCAGCTATTCTGTTTAAAAATCAAACCTCAGCATTGTCACTTGCAGTGCTCTAGCAGCTAAATTTATAGTATCTTATCTTGCTGAGGAATCTTTGCTGTGTTCCAGGATCATTTGTTAATGTCACTGCAGCCATTGAAATGGCAGAAGTTCATTATATTGTTATTGTACATGCAGCATAACACAAAACTAAACAGAAGGTCAAATTCTGATCATGTGACTATGTATATAAATAAAGAATGTTTCCACTGAGTAAGATGAAATTGTTGGAATGGCTGGCCAAAGATCTAATTTATTATTGTGGCATTCACAGAAGTAGCAATTAGAAATAAACACATGGACACACATACAGTAACTAGAATATATAACACTATCTTGCTGTAAAATTAGATTTCTCTTAAAAAGCAAATGGGAAAAGATAAACAATATGAGAGGATTTTGCAATAGTTTACAAGAAAATCCAATGTCAGGCCTAAATTGTTTGTAATAAAAACTTCATTTGGCTAAAGAAACTTTTCAGTAGGATGAATATATTTTGCTCTAACCCATTTAGTGCAATTTTGTAGCTTTTTTCCACTACTCCACTGAAATCAAGAGAACTGGCAATTACAATTT